TGATCTGAGATTTGTTATTTTTTTAGCCAGTCAAAGACAGACTTTGTTTTCTTTTGGTTCCCTAAACCCCTTACATTTAAAGAAATTATATTAAATTGACTCAACATTACAGGAATTACAGTAAATTGTGTCTACATAAATGCATCTAGTATCAATCGGGTGAGTTACAGGTAATAGGTTTTAGTCTCTAAAATACAAGAAAAACAACGACAAAAAAAAAACAGCAGCCATCTACAACGATGTCCACAAAAAACATACAAGTGCCCAAAAACACACAAGGGCAAAAAAACAAAGAGCAAAAAGCCATGACATTGTATACCAAAAAAGGGCACAATGCCAGGAGAAAATAAAAAGCTCGAGAGATGCTCGGCATGGCAAGTTCTCTGTTCTAAATTGATTGTTATATATAGCTATTTAGAGGTAGGTATAGGCCTTTTAGTAGAGAAAAAAATAGTTTGGTATTCAAGAGAATAAAAGTGACAAATCTAATAGATATAATCAATTTTTGGAATTGTACGCTCTGATACACTGTTGACCATATTGAATTCTAGAATGTGTATTTTAAAATGCATTATACCAGTATTAACAATAAAAAAAAAAAAATTCGACTAGCGTTACCATCCACCGATTCAAGAAAAAAGAAGCAAAAGTGATAACAACTATTTTATATAATTTGAGCCACATGTAGATGACCATAAAGACAAAGCTTGGTAGACATGTATCACATTATTTGAAAACAGTGCAGGAGATCCCACACATACAATTGACTCATTTTGGTTATTTTAATTATTTCCACTTAAAATGGAGGTTGAAACTTTTGGCAGTATAGTATATTCATTCTAAATACCAAAACAAATAAGTTTGAACTTATATAAGGACTCCCTTGTAGCACGACGACATAAAATGCAGTAATGGGTCTGATAAATGTTATATTGTTACATTACACAATAATCTACATTACTATATATTACTAAGACTATTATGTAACTGACCATCGATAAATAGTTTGCCATTTGTGAAAACAATGTCATGTATGCTTACGTCGTCATTCAAAAATAAAGCTAGAGATTTCAAACGTTAATACACTAGGTGTGTAACATACCAGTCAATGTAAGCTTCTACCAACAGAATGTGATTGAATCAATGCTTGAACAATGTAACCCTCCCAATAATTATTTTGTGTCGGTTCACGACTCCAATCAGTGATATTTAGATGTCAGGCTCTGACTCGTTAGCGCTGTAAAGGAAATACCTCGGCGAACCTCAATATATTTATTCCAGTTGAAATTCAGCTGGGAAAAACAGACCGTGATGCCGCTTCCATTGCAGCGATGTTATAATGACAGACAACAATTACATGAAAGGTGTAATGACACTGCCTATTCTCGATAACCGTCGGCGCGCACTAATGTAATTTCGCGCCCAGCTAACTCAGATGTAATTC